CCTTAAAATCATCGTATTTTTTCGTATATCAAAACTTTAAAAAATTAATTTATTTTATTTAATTAAAATTAATTTCGCATAATTTGCGAAAATAAAAAAATACGTGTCGATTTATATTGCATCCAGTTTATAAAAAAAAATGTTTCAAGCCAATCTATTTTTTAGTTGCAAAAATGATATGGAACGACCCTTATACTTTGAATTTCAACGAAATCGGTTCATAAATACGACTTTTATAAATAACTCGACTCCCTCGCCACCTAGCGGGTCTATTTTTGGTAAACGTATTTTTCATCATGCTGTTAGCTTACATGTTGAATTTAAAAGAATTCAGTTCATAAATACGATTTTTATAAATAACTCGCCCCAGCGCTCTTTTTCGCATACGTATTTCTCATCATGGAGGTAGCACACATTTTGAATGTGAAAATTTGAACGAAATCGGTTCATAAATACGACTTTTATAAATAACTTGACCGCAAGGCCACCTGGCGAGTTTTCTGGTAGCCTATAATAGGACCATATATGCAAGGTATAACCTCTGAAAATTTTACTGAAATCTATGCAGTAGTAGTAGTCCGAACAACGAAAACGGCTATTATTTTATATATATAAATTCTTCCACACCTTTGCTATTATATTAAGTATTTAAATTTACCTTCTCCTTTGTCTTTATGTTAAGGCTTCTTTACTTTTATTTTAATCTCTGCATTTATCCCTTTCTTCCTCTACATACTCGACTTTACCTTCTTCCTTGCTTGATTCTTAATCGATTCATGTTCATACATACATCTTATTCCTAAACTGCTGCTTAGGACGTTTCTGTAATTCAGAAATTAAAGCATACATTTAAGAGGCATTTCTGGTGCAACCCTATACATGTATGACATTGGTATTGGTGTCGCTTTTGAACAGATTTTTTCGCTTAATGTTAAAGTTATTTGAAATTTAAAAACTGTCTGCACATCAGGATCAAGATACCTTTCTAATGATGTATAATCGTTTATACCTAGGAAGTATAGTTTAGCCGTAAAAGGGGTGTAAAGAAAACATGACTGCCTATTTATATATAAGACTAACAGACCCAGCGAACTTCGTCCGGCCCAAATTTTTTATTTTTTTATTGAAACTTTTTGGTCCAACATTTTCACCAAACTATTCACGTTTACGATTTTCATTGGCACGGTCATCTGCAAAGATTATGGCTTAGTGGTCATTTGCCGCTTTAAATAACCTAAGGAAAGTGTTATATCCGTGAAGAAGTTCTTGAAATTCTCCAACTGTGCAGCATTACATAGCACGGTTATTCGCAAAACGAAACAAATTTGAAGAATTTTTTCCCCTTCACTCCCTGGCGGCAACAATGACCCGGTTCTGTAGTGAATGTCCTAGAAGCTTTACAGTATAGTTGGTGGCAATTTCAAAATGGGTGTGAATCATTGTTCTACATAAATGCAATATACATACATCTACTTATTTCAGACGAAATACCCTAAAAGCTTGAATGGAAAAACACATTTATTGGGCCAATCGTAACATAGGAGAGTTCGATATACTCAATGGTGCAACAGGTCGATTTAATCTGATCTTCACGGCACCTTTTCTCACTTGGCTATTTTTAGTAATAACTCGACTCCAGCGCCACTTGGCGGCACGTTTTTGCAATAGTATTGCTCTAACCATTACCAATACATGTTTAAAATATTAGCCAAATTGGATCATAAATAAGATTTTTTTAGTAACTCAACTAACTAACTAAACAACTCAAACACGCACAAAAAATTTCGTTAAAATCCCTACAACCATTTAGGAGGATTTCACTTACAAACACACTTACAGAATAATTATAAATACATTCAAAGTTAGCTAAAAGTCGGTAGGTTTGTAGGCCTCACGCCCCCTTTTCAAATAGCGCCAATTTTCTTCATAAGTATGGGCTTGATTTCATTTACATACATATCTCCATACTAAGTTTCAGAACTATACCATGAACACTTCCAGAGATATGCAGTATGAAAAATTCGGTTTGTATGGGAGGTGCCACGCCCCCTTTACATATAGATTTTTTTAGCCTAAAACCATCCTTGGGACACGTGCGGCACGTGTCTGAAGTTTCAAAAATATCGGTTCAGCCGTTCTCCAGCTTTGCGAACACTAAAAAAACGGCTTTCAAAATATGTATTAGTAAAGATTACATTGCCTAATAAAATAATTTGCAATGGCATTCGTACATGGCAATTACAAGTTCATATTACGGAACAATAGTAAACGGAAAACATATACAGGGTGTCCCAGAAGTAACGTGCCAAACTTTAGTGGAAGGTAGGTGGGGCGGTGAGCTCTCCGATAAACAAAAAATTTTCAAGTAAAAGTGTCACCGTTTTTGAAATATTTACATTTTTTTGAACTAAAAAAAATTCGTATTGCACACACATGCTCTGCTCACACACACGCCAGAAACACATTCAACTTGCACTCACTGCTCATACACATGTGTGTGCATAAGTGGAAAACAAACTCTGCTCACAGAAAAGTGTGTGCTGTTTGTTATTAAGCACATGCACATGTGTGTGAGCCGATTTTTGTACAAATTTCAGCCCATGCACATGCACATAATATATTTTTAAAAGAATTTTTTTATTAAACGTTATTTTTTTAAAGACAATTCAATAAAAAGTGAGATGTTGTTTGTTTTTTATATGACAGAAAACTTATTAAAAAATTATTTTAAGACTTGAGTTAGAATTCGAAGTGTATAAATTTCTCTACGCAAAGCACACACATGTACGTATGCTTTATATTAATAACAAGTTAGTTCGGCGGAGTCTGCTTTTAAAAAGTTTGCGGTTACCAAGATATACACATGTAACCATAAGTGGGCGTGGCTACGCCCATTTTCCAAAAATTTATAATATTCTTATTTTTCGTCTAAAAATTATTGTAAATATCAATTTTGAGTGAATAATCTCCAGTAGTTATTAAAATATCGCAGTTTTCGTATTTCTGGTTAAAGTCCGATTTCGCCCATTTTCAATACCAACCTACCTTGGA